TGTCCAAAATACAATATTACCTTTGGCCTGCGAGTAAAATATTTACGCAACAGCAAGAAACGTTTCCGATTGGATCACCACTTCACAGCCTTCTACATGGTTTCATCAATTTATTTGGTGACTAGCTCCACTTTATTCGGAATCCGGGGTGTCAAGCATCCCGCGCTGCTGACCGTTTTCTTTCAAGATCCGGTCATCATACATCGTCAGATTTTCGTCCGCATGAGGCCGATGTCAGACTTTGCGAATCGCGCGATTCGCTACTAGCGATTCGCGGTCGCGTTGCGGTACCAGCCAATTGAGTGATTCACTGGCCGCGACGCGACCGCAGACGCTAGCGAATCGCGCGATTCGCAAAGTCTGACATCGGCCTAGGTACACAGGTTGCTAAACTCCCTCGTAGACGAATAGACGAGTATACCTGATATCCCCACCCCGCAGTTGTCGCAGTGTTCCTTAACCCACCGTAGTTTCCTCAGAAGCCTCGTAGTTCGGTTCCTAGGAGCCTAAAGAAAAAGGGGTAATATATTGTAAGGAAATCGGTTCCAATGCAATATTCAGGAATGAGCATAAGGAAATTGCCTACAGATTCAAAAGCATCAGGTCAAACGGTGCGAAAAAAGCTTAGCACACAAGCCTAAAAATCTCAAAACGACAGGCTAAAACAGGGAGGCGGAGTTGTTATGCTTCTTAAGAACACTTTCTCGTGTAAAACCGTTTTCCATGAGTCTGTTAAGAGTGCCTACGAAATCTTGATCGTGGATGTCTCTTTTTTCGAAAAAATTATTAGATTTATCCTTGTTTATCGCACTCCATCCTGCAATGCAGCAAATTCCACTCAACTCAGTAGAGCTATCAGTGATCATTCATCGATCGATAAGCCTGCATTGTGCTGGGTGATTTTAATCTTGCGAATACTGAGTGGGGCAATGAAAGACAAGTTGGAACTGTGTCTCAAGCTTTCTATGACATGTTCAAATGTCATAATTTTCAGCAATTGGTCCTTTCTCCAACCAGAGAGAAATCTTTCTTAGACCTAATTTTTTGCAATATTCCAGGGCTTGTCACAAATGTTACTGTTACTGCTCCCTTGGGCAGCAGTGACCACAATGCTCTTGAATTTATGGTTAACGTCAAAAGCTGGCTTCCTGTTGTTTCTTGGAAGCGTGCGTTTCAAGCTGCAGATTATTCTGCCATTGAAGGTCATTTACTTAATGTGGATTGGTTGGGTTGTTTCGCTGCTGTCTCTACAGTTGATGAAATGTATGAACTTTTTATCACCATTATTCATGATACGATAGAACGTTTCGTGCCCATCAAGAAAACTGGGGATACTTTCGTAAGATTGCCTAGTTATATCAGAAGGATGATTGGACGTCGTAATGCCCTGTGGAGTTTTGCCATAAAGAATGGCCTCGGAAATGACTGGAGTATTTTCAAAAAACATAATGCAATTGTAGAAAGATGCATCAATAAGTACCATGTCTATCTCGAAAAGAAGATTGTGGGTACCAAAAGCCTTTCAAAGCTGTACTTTTATAAGCTCCCGTATTAAAAACAAAACGTCGATCCCGGCCTTGATTGCAAGCAACGGTAGTGTGCTGTTTAGCTACAGGGACGAAGCCGAACTACTAGGGCAACAATTCCGAAAATATTTTTGCAGTTCTCCTCCTTATCTCATTGAGAACCCTTCACAAAACTATACTAACTACTTAATTTCACAAAACTAACTATGGAACCCTCTGTGTGGTTTTGTAAAGATGAGATCGTTAACATATTGAAGCAAATGGCCAAGTTCTAAATCGTTGTCGCCGGACTTTATTCCTTTAAGTTTTATCAAGAGAATTTTACCTGTCATTGCATATCCGTTGGAGTACTTATTCAATCAGTCTTTCATCAAATCGGAAGCTCCTAGTCGCTGGAAAATGTCTTTTGTGACCCCCATACCCAAGAAAGCGCCCTTTTCAGACCCAGGAAACTACCGTCCCATAAGCATCACTTCAGTTTTTGCGAAGGTGTTTGAAAAAATCCTTAGGAAACACATTTTAAAGCATCTTGAACAAAATGAAATTATTCCTGTGGAACAACATGGTTTTTGGAGTGGGAAGTCCAGGGAAACGGCGCTGCTTGTATCACTAAATGACTTGGACAAAGGCAACTGAGCTTAAACAGCAGCAGGGATTCGTGGGCAAGGGTCGATGTCTGTAGGGGTCTTTTGAAGAACTATCAACAATTGTGTGCTGAAAATGGATAGGCGTTGCTATAGTTGATATTGCACTGCGACCTTTCTGCTACGAAATAGACTTTATTTTGTCACCATGTTTATGCCTCACCCGATAGATAGGGAGCGCAGAGCTGCTCTCCATCTTTCAAATCTCTAGAGGCAGTTCTTCGGAATGAACTGTAACATTAAGTGATGCTAAGAGCGGTCATCCTTCGAAGCGATTGGGGGTGAGGCTTAGGAGAAAAGATTCACTTCGAACAAAACAACATTACCGTGGATAGTAGCGGCACACAACGACATAGTTGCCTGCACAAAGCCTAACTCCGCAACCAACTTGGTAGGTGGAAGCCCACGCCATCTGAAATTCCGGTTTTTGGTTTTTTGGGAAAATTGGATACTTGATAGTTAAGAAACATTCAAATATTTCCTTATCAAGGCTGCAGTGCGGTTTCTACAGAATAACCTATATTGACCAGAGCAGGGATTCATGCATATTTGGTTGTCCAATAACTTCCAGCTGGATTTTGACGCTTTCTCTTCTTCGAGCTTTATTGTCTAGCAAACATTCGATCAAAAATTTAACACCCGTTATGATCGCTGACGCACACCTTTTGCTAGAGTCTGAATGGACGAATTCTTGCCAGGATAAGCCAAGATGGTGTTAAAGGATTTGGATAGATTCTTTTGGTTGTGGTTGTAATCCCAACCTTATCCTGCTGCTTCATGGCGTTCCAGGGGAGACAGTCCGATGAGGAGTTTACGGTGGTTGTGGTCCCTCCAAGAGAAATGTGCTCTGAACAGGGAACTTACAATGGGAACTTTTAAGACATGGAGCTTCTCGAAGTGGTCTTCTGAATGTTGTAGAGGCTCATGTGAGGAACACAGAACATGGTCCATTTTTCTGAACGCTCCAGAAATGTCAAAACAGCGGGGAAGAAATGGTCCAAAGTTCGATCCTCCGTGATGACAAATTTTTGCAATTTATGTTGGCGCCTTCCGCAAAACACGACAATGACATCTATTCTCGACGATGGCGCCATTTGGCGGCAATCTGGGGCGCCAAACTATATTGCAAAAATTAGTCATCACCGGGGATCGAACTCTGACCATTTCTTCACCACTGTTTTGACATTCCTGGAGGCGTTCAGGAAAAATGGATCATGGTTCTGTGTTCCTCACATGAGCCCCTACAACATGCAGAAAACCATTTCGAAAAAGCGCTCCATGTCCTGAAAGACCTCCCTTGTTAGACGTGGATGAGCTGGCGGTCTCATGCGCATAACAGCCACCGAGTGTGAAGCGTGTTCTCGTCGCAGTAGAGTCATCACTCATCTGTACTAGTGATCGACCATGAAAGGTCTTGTCTACGCGATCGCAGAAGAAGGCTTCCGCAGAAAGGCACGGTGCTTGTCAGTCGCGGTTGGTTGATGTGGACTGCATCCATCGGAACCCTGTTCTAGTGCGGCCCATCTCATTCGAATGGAAAGTGATGATGCACCGCCTGTGTCCGAATGTCTGCGGCAATTCCACAGAAGTATAGCATCCAGGTGCAGTTCAAATTGATAGGTTTTCATCGAACTTCGTGGCGATCCATGACGCTATTCATCGTCAGTGGTCGCATCGGCCAAGTCGGCAAGATGGACGATCAAAGTGGTCTGGCGCCTTTTGTGCCATAGCCTGTTGTCTAAGAGAAACTTCCGTGCCAAACGGATGCGATATTTGCTTTCTACATGTCAGATTTCCATAGGGTAATATTTCACTTAATTTATCACCTCAGTCTTTGAAGTGGAGCGGTACACTTACAATTCAGTCACGTACTGCTAGTGGACATTTTGAAAGATATGGCCGAACCAGGACGGAAGCGCTGCGGTGAGTAGCGGTGCTGATACCTCATGCACGGTCCGGGGTCATATCCCGAATTGCCCTCCGTCCAGGCTATCCAAACCTTCCGTACGCCCTCACTTACTCTGATTTGAGCATCGGCTGGCCCTTTGGGCCATTGTATTGAGCGATTCGCGTGCAGATGCCACTAGCATTCTGAATAAAATAGAACGCGAGGCTCATCCCAATAATAGCTCAATCAATGTACAGTGCTTCACTATACTATCCAATATGTTTCACGAGCTTTTACAATATGGCTACTAGAGGGCTGCTATGAGTAGTAAGCTATTGCCTTGGGTGTTTACCGCTCGCTTCCTCCAAGGTTCCATTATCAAATTTGATTTTTGAATTTTTGGATTCAATTTCGAACCTACTTGGGTGAAACGAAGTAGCGTCGGTTGCTTACGCAAATACTCATCAGTAAAAAGCACGTCGTCATCGATGCTAACCTTTCTAATCACTCTCCAGAATAACTTTACTGCCTGAAAATATCACCATGCGCAATATTAACAAGGGAGGTCGTTCAGGGTGTGCCAAGCTTTTTCAAAATGGTTTCTTGCATGACATTGGGGCACATATGGGGAACCACAGAACATGGTTCATTTTTCCTGAACGGCCCTCTGAATACCAGAAAAGGGGTCCCTAGTTCGATTCCTCGTGGTGACAAATTTTTGCATTTCGAGTTGACGTTTCAAAATTCGCGCAAAATGGAGTTAGCATGAATAATTAGTACCATATTCATGATTAGGACCGTCAGTAACCCTTACAAATAGACTTTGATTGAAAAACTGGTGAAAAAGGTGTGACTAGGGACCCCCTTTTCTGGTATTCAGAGGGCCGTTCAGGAAAAATTAACCATGGTTCTGTGGTTCCCGCATGTGCCCCTATATCATGCAAAAGACCGTTTTGAAAAAGCTTGGCACACCCTGAACGACCTCCCTTGTAAGCCCTAAAACATTATTAATGGTGCAAAACGTAAACACTCAGAAAAGACACACCTTGTTAACTGCATCATAATATGTGCTAGCAGATTTGGATGGAATCATTCCGAAATTTTCACCGTAAGGCTTGCGTGACGCCACAGAAGAACCCGTGGATGGACAGGTGTCAGCATAGTTTCTGAGCCTCGCGTTCAAGGTTCATGCTGTATGCCTAGATAGTTTGTCACATACCGCATTACACACTAAGGCAGTCTATTTGATGAGCGGACAAAATCGTTCATCTACAACACATGCTTGAACAACACATTATGTAATGCAAAACTTGCTAGCTAAGCAAACCACTGTTCCCTCATTGAACTTAAAGGCACGGGTTAGGATGATGGAGCAAGGAGTAGTCCTTCCTAGATTGAGAAGAGGAGTCTTCAAACGCAGGAGGCGCGACATTGTCGCTACTCAAAAGTGCGAGGCAACAGCGCCAGGGCCTTGCCTTGTGTGCTGCCATTCTTGTCAACTGCGGTGTATGTGGTGTTTACGTCCTTTCGTGTACAACGTGCTGTCTCGCCTTTTTCCTCACCTGGCAGCGCTGTTTCTCTCTTTCATTCACATGTGGAATTTCAATGTTTTCTAGGGCTTTTTGAATTTCTCACCACTAACGTTCCGCATCGCAGTTATTGTATAATTTTTGAACAAAATAACACATCAATTCGATCCCGACCCGTGCCTTTAAGAACACATTCCGCTATGAAGTAGATAGGGATTATTGGGGGTGCGGTAAACAGAATCGTCCGGATGTGGCGTCGCCGCGCGCGGCCACTTGCGCGGCGTCGCAACGCGACAGTTTTTCGATGGGCGCGGCCTATTCGAATTTGACGATTGGAGCAATGATTCTTCGTGGTCTACTTCATTCACATGATTTCCAAGATTATTCTCGTAGAAGCGGCTCCTTTTTGTACTTAATTAGGTCTGGTTTGCACCTAATTAAGGTCGCCTCCCTTTACTTAGGTGCGAACCAAACCTAGTTAGGTATTAAAATGAAGAGGTCGTAATGCTATGCACAAATCTGCGCCCATCGTTACATGGTAGAGTCATGAGTTATAATGTTGAGAGAGGGCGTGTCACGTTTGAATTGAGGTACGCGTTTCAAAAGATATCGTAATCCCCGCGAATTACAGTTATCAACTCCGAGAAAGTATAAACTATTTGTTCCAACCTTTATGCGCAGATGATCTGGTTTTTGTAAAAAGACTTTTCAATCTCTCTAAAACTGTATTAATGAGCAGTGTGCACATGTATTGAAACATACAGCCTCCTATCTCAGCAATATGGTGATAACTTAGAGTTTCTAGCGTTTTATTAGCTTGCTGCTTTCGAGCGGAAAGGGAGGAGTCGGTTTAGCGTCCCTTCAACGATCGCAATCGATGACGCTAACAGAAACTCGTGCACCGCTGTGGCGGCGTCGCGACCCCGACCACCAGCGCGGGATCGATTCTGTTGACACGCACCCGGGTTATTGAGCTCGAAATTGAACATAGTTGTGTAATTGGTTGGCCATCAAAAAACACTGTCAAGAAGCCTCAAATCGCATGGCGCGTTGAACGCATGGGTGAAGGGTGCACTCTGTCTCCGTCCTCTATGGGAATCCGGTTGATCCCTCATTCCTCTAACGTGATTAATTACGCTAGAT